TGGGAACTAGCAACATTTTAGAAAAACTGCAAGAAATACCAAGTATCACTGTATACAACTCGCACAACAGGTAAACTCCACTGGTACAGATCCACATTTGTTTTTTTAACAATTACGGACACTTTGCAAGGCTTTCCAGACCCACAGTTACAGCCAAATAAGTTACAAGCTTTCTGTAAACACCATCCTACAAGAGATGTTAGGTCCTGTTAGCTCTGATTGTTACATGGTCTCAACAAACAACATTGCATTCTTTGGGGAAGATTTTTCTTAATTATTACACTTAAAATATCAAAACCGTGGCACATAATTTGCCACTGGAATATGAAGAATATCACCTGAACTATGAAAATCACACTGTAGTTCAGAACGAGACACATGCTTCTAATAAACAACTGAAAGCAGGCACCAGGTGTCAAAGTATTTTAACAAAGACTTAGACACTCACTTAGACAACATCAGAAGTTAAAGAAATAACAGAATTACCGTACAGGCATCTAGTATTACCTGCCGACATCTGTATGTCTCTATTTTTTGGTGGTTCATTGGGAAACCTAGCCAAACACCTTGAAAAATCATAACCAGAAAGACTAAAAGATTGCTGGGAACAGCTTTCATTTAAATGAAAGGCAGTAGAACTGTAATACTGCCCTAAATCATCTTACTTTTTATGTACTACAGAAGTTTGTTTGACATTTGTAACTACCAGGGAATTCTCAGCGAACTTTGAGTTCTGCAAAGTTCCACTCCATTTTGCCTGGAATAGATTAATTTTTCTTCTATTACACATACTTCACATGAGAAAATACAATCCACCAGTCGTTAAGCAACAAGCATCCCACATTTAGCCAGACAAATGGCACACTATCCTATTATTTTGTTCTTTTTTCCTTCTCACGTCATTTTCTTTTTCGCTAATGACAGAGAAGAATGAGAATTCAGAAATAGCAGTACAGCCAGTTGCCTTAAACCAGCGCTGCTCTGTTAGTAAGCAAACCAGAGACAAGCCACAGCAGTCGGGCTGTTCCACCCCCTGCCCTACTGCAAGCACCTCCGCTGCCCAGCGCCCGAGTACACTGCTGTGACCCAGCCCGTCACCCAGCAGGCAAGAGGGTTCCTCCAGCGCCCGAGTGCTTTTCATGACATCACCTCTGTGGACACCTGGGGTGCAACTGAGTTTGTGTAATACTGGACACAGACCTGATTTGTCGGTACCAGCTCAGGACTCTCAACACCTCACACCCCAGCCCTGTCAGGCCAAACACAAGCATTCGCTGACGGCAGCAGGTGCGGGACACCCGAAAAACCCAGGTCTTTTGCTGGTGGGTAAATGAGGGTTGACGACTGTTTGACTCCTTCGCCACTTCAGACTTCCACCAGGCTTCTTGTTTCCCTTCCATCGGCCTCACATGACAGCGCAGGCACAGCACAGTCAACTTCCTTCCTCTGTTTAGCAGCTGATGATGATGATGGCAAGTACAAGTCTAACATACAGGAACAAGCACATTAAGTCTCACTGTGCATTTAAGGTGATCCTGGACGTTCTCTACTCCTCTTTTCCCTTCACGATGTAAACAAAGAGCAGCAGCTATTTTCCCTGTAGATAACCGATCCTTCGTGCTGAAGGACAAAGTGCTGAATCAATCACCTCTTCTTACCCACGCTTTCTACAACTATTCAAGTTTAACATGGTCAACATTACCAAGGTGGGGTTTTTTTAATGATTTGAAAATAATCAACCTTTTACTTCAAGATAGACTTCCCTAGCTTCTAACTAGCACACAAACAGTTCTCTGTCCATCTAGGGTAGGGGAAGATGGCAGAAGATACAAAACCTGAACTTCTACTGTAGAAGAAAGAAGTTAGCCTTAAACATCAGAAATAAAAGCAGAACAGGACGCACATGTTCATTGAGTCATAGGTAACATTTAATATGTTTGTTTTTTTTTTTTAAACAGGCCTTACGTATATACAAAGTAGATATCTAAAATACATTAATCTTGTCACATTTACGTATGAAGTACATCCCAGGACATTTCATGGTTCTTCGCTGGCTACAATTTTATACAGAAGTGTACAATCTCAGGCGCATATCAAAGTTTCTCTAGGTGCATAGGAAAAAAACACATTCCAGCTTTAAAATGTGTGTTATCAGTCTGTCAAAATAACCCCAGAAGCACAAAGCGTACGAAGGACAAACAAGAATGAGAAACTCTTTGTCCTCACTGCAAAGCAAACTGCAGCAACACCGGCAGACTCCTACAGCCCGCTCAGCTCAGGCAAAAGAAGGTGTCCTACAGATTAGCCGTGAGGCCACTAAAGGTTAGCAAGTGGTGAGCTGTATTCACTACGTGGCACAGCACCAGGGCAATCAATATGCATTAAAAACGCTACACGCTTTTTAAGGATCTGCGTGTAAGACTCCAAAGGCTGCAAATTCTTCACTGAAGAAACAAATCACTGCAAGTCAAAGACTCTGTGAGGGCCCAGAAACCACAGTACTGGATTAAACTCAAGACACCAAATCTATCATATTTTAATTTGTTTCTAGATATCTTCAGAAGCACTTATTATACCCCTCTGGCAAAATTTGCGTGTATAAATGCATGTGATAACTTTCTGCATATCAGAGACCTCTGACTTCATTTCAACACCCAGAAGTATCAGCAGCAACACGACCTCTGCTGCAGTTTCCACAGGAATGCAAGGCTTCTTCGAAGTCTGCGCTGAAGACAAAGATTAGAGAAGCAGGATGAATCATTCCTAAAGACACAGGAGCCGTAGTTCAGTCACAAGCTTAGTCATACGACTTACAAGTTGTAGTTTGACCACCTGCCCTGCTGTATTTCCCCTCTGACTTCACACAGGACATCTGCAGCAGAACCTATACAACATTCCCACGCTCGTGACCGGTCCATAGGACACCTTCCGAAGGACCCAACAGGCGCTCGCACAGCTCCAAGGCATGGTATTCTTGAAGGAGAATGACCACCCTACTCAACTCACCTTAAGAAAAACAAAGAACTACCGGGAGTAAAGAGGTTGGTATATGTATTCTAATTCTCAGAGCTCAAAAGAGCAATTCATTTAATCAAGTGAACAAAGTAAAGGAATTTAATAAACGTGCCTGTCAACTTTTAAAGGTTTTATAAACCTGAAAGTAGATGAATAAAAGTAATGAAAATCATAGCTAATCATTTGTGTGGAGGATCAGTAAGTTAAATACATATCACCTGCACTTGAGAAACACACAGATTATGAAATACTGTAACTCTGGAGATAGAATCTGAAATGGAAAGAACTTAATCCTTAATCTGCGGAGGGTGACGTTGATCAAGCAAGAGAGAGAGGAAGAAGCAGATCTGTAATGAATCAGTAGTTCCTTGCTAGATCTTACAGCTTGCCACGTCTCCTTACAAAGCCAGGTTTAAACAGTTTGTGTAAGTAACTGTGATTATTGCCTGCAAACATACCTTCAACAAACCTGTGTATCTACCCCATTTATGAACTCAACTCATCACATCTACAGCAGCTTTTAAATCACCAGAACACTCCTGGGCAACCTACCATAGGACCACCTGACACCTTTCAGGCCTGGACTAAGTTTTTGCCTACATAATCCTCCCCCTTTTTTCTTCCAAAGCACAACACCCACAAGAAGCTTACAGGTTCCACCAAGAGCTTCCCCTGTTTCAGCCCTCTGAGGAACAAGGATGATGATGACAACAATAACACTGCCCCACCCCAAAACAAAGGACAAAACTTGTTGGACATTCAAGTATTAGCAAGATGGGGAAAACAACTGCTATGGCAGACTGTCCTACAAGCCCGTGAGCGTTCATAAAAAATATTTTTATTTAGTTTAAGAATCAAGACAACATATTTTGCATTTTCAAACTACCTTTTCTGTCAGTTATTCCATTTGGCAAAGAAGTAAATATACGTTTATTCATGATGAAACACATTTATCACTATATTTGAATTCGAACAACAGCATCAACTATTCTGTTTTTTGAAAGTTCATTTACTTCAGATCCTACAACTGCTCCCTCCAGTCCCTGTGTGCACAAACAGCATTCTACAAAAAGAAAAAAGAAAAAAACCCTCCAACGACTAGCTATAATCATACCCTCCGCTGTAAGAGAGCTGTCCGACGCACACACCGAAATTACGGAGCAAAGTTTTTCCGTGCTCGCAACAACAGCAAACCTAGAAATTATTCCAGATAACGTGACGCAAGGAAACATTCAATCTTTGCCTGAAAACTTAATTTGCCGGCAGACTTTCAAACTGGCGTCTTCGAATTGCCTAACCCCCCCTGCCCCACACAGTCCATTTCAAGAAACCCGGAGTTATTTCGGTTCTTCCCTCCAACACCGCCTTTCGCGCTCACGCACAGTAACGACCTCACAGCGCATTTGCTAACGCCGCCCGAAGCAGCCGCCCACCGCGGGCCCCCCC